GGTACCGGCATTTGCTGGAGTCATCTAACTCGTCATACACTTTTGAAAACTTGGGAGAAGTCATGGCCACTGATTCAGCGTTCGTACAATAGTCCTTTGTAAAGAACAGAAGAGGAACGTAACAGCGATACAGGAAATTTCCTTCGTGAAATTATTCCAGGCACATGTACTTCTTTTGAACTTTTCATCTCTTTTGCCACCCCTGCGGAGCGCGGCCGCTTTGGCCGCCTACACGCCGCCTGCACGTGATCCTTTCGCATAACCTCTGGTCTTTTGCCAAATAAGACACGCAGTGACTTGGCGGGGCATGGCATGCGTACTGAATGCGTGACCCGGGCACACCATACATGCAGTGCATTACGAGTCACGCGTGAGCTCTTGTTCCTGAACCGGAACGATCAATCACCGCGTTTGGCGTGTACGTGCTCACCCATGCCCGGCCCACGCGTCGAGAAAATAGTGACTTCCTTTTTTTTGTTTTGCTTGTGACTTTCAAAAACTATGTTTCTTCAAGCGATCGCGATCGACATTCTAGAATAATATAATGAGGACGGTCACTGGATTTTCTCTGCCTAGTTCTTGTAAAGGGTTTAGTTTTGTTTTCTAGAACATCTCTCCAGATATGATGGGAAAGGCGATCACTGCTGCGTTCCGCAGTGCAACAGCGACCGACGTTCAGACAAAATACTTTGTTCCATGTCTTCCCTGCTAGCAAGGAATCGAAAACTGGAGAAGCTAAGAGCGTGAGCAGTGACGAGTTGGACACAAGAAAGTCTTGGATTGCCGCCATTCGTCGAGATGAGCGGAATGGCTACGGGTACCATCATGCCATACAATATAGTGGTGTGTTGAACTGTTCCTACCATTTCACTGATGAATACTATAGTCGCTATCGACGATATCCAAGTGGAGTTCAGCCTGGATATTTAGCTCGGTTTGAAGACTCTGACATTCAGTAGTACACTGGTTTTCCTTTGCTTGCTGCGTTTGATGCATGTATTCAATTTCTTCACCTGGATTATAAGAGCGTCTTTCCTTTCGCAGTAAACCAGTGGATGCCGATTCCCGGAAAAGGAAACCCGGTGATGAACGGAAGATTAAGTTAATTGGCTTGGAGAGCTTTTTCATTACCATGGTTAGTCTTCGCCACGGCACACATACCAATCTCGCCGCGTCCTTCCCAAGTGGCAGACCGATTGCTGGATGTTTTCAAAAAGCTGCATCCTACAACATTCATGATCATAGATGCTACAGTGCTGAAATGTAATATCGCTTCCAGTCTGTCTGCGCAGTCGCAACTCTACAGCTCATATAAGACGCATACTGTTACTACCTTGACGAGCCTCATCCGTATGACCCCAGATGGTGGTGCGGTGCTTACCTCCAAGTCATTTACGGGACCCACCAGTGACCACGAGCTCACAATCAGAAGCCACTACTTAGATATTCTGCCAGTAGCCGGCTATGGGACTTTGATTATGGCAGACCAAGGATTTTACATCCGGGATCTCTTGATGCCACATGGCGTAAAGTTGAAGCGATCCAGCAACAGATGGCCTTAGAAGATGTCCAGAAAACGCAACAAATTGCCACGTTACGAACTCATGTTGAGTGTCAGATGGAGCGAATCAGGGACTTCTCTATCTTTTCAAAGATCGTTCCAACAATTCTTTTCCCTATCATCATTCAGATAGGGATTGCTCGCTGCCTGCTCACAGTATTCCAGGCTCCTTTACTTGCTGAAGCAAATTATGTTTTCCATGCCAACTGTTGCTAGCATTGCATGGCGAATTGATCTTCAGCAACACGAATTCTGTCATGCCTGAACAATCATGCACAATACGGAGCAGCTAATGACTTACTGGGTATAAATGTGGATAGTATTTTAGATTGCAATATTTGCAAAAGTGCAATGAATAATAATACCCCTCTTGATTAATATTAGTGCTGGCGGTTTATCAATTTACAGGGGCGAATATAAAAGTATCTTTGCAACCATACAATAGATCCTTTGGTAGAGCAGAGCTGGACCCAGTTTCAGGAAAACTAGGACGAAATGTAGCTGCTAGAGGGACGATATCCTCATTGCGTCGCTATGGGCTTCCACGAGCTCAGCGTCAACAATGCTCTGAATGGCAGCGGTTTTCCGCTTTCCTTGCCGAGGCCTGCCGCCAAATATATCTGGAGTGCACAGTATTGGATCGATGTGATAGAACCAGGCCCTGAACAGATGGAGAAAGTTAGAATGTAAAACATGTATCGATAAAATGTATTTTTTCTTGTGCGAAATGTTGAAGACTGCATCCTGAAGTGGCACTTACCGATCGAGCAAATCACCCCATTTCCTGGACACTCCGGCTCCTCTAGCTCGCAGGTAAGTCTTCAACTAGTTGATTGTCCATTTTTCAAAGGACTCGTTGTCCAAAGGCATCAAAACCCTAGCTTTGGGATCGCTACTTCAACTTGATTCTCCCTCGCAGGACTACTATCAAGTGACAACATTCCCTTCATCGCAACGTACCGCCACAAGAGATGAAGTGCTCGGCTCATTAACCGCTTCATCAGCCATTTATCAAACATATCACAAAGGTCCAGCAAGAAGTAAATGCGAAAAATCCTTTCTACATATTGGACAGCAATGAAAAAGCGAGAAGAAAACAGAATCCTTCGCTGTCAGTTTTTTTCCGATCCAGGAGAGTCCCGTTTTTTCTGGCCGCCTGGGTAAGTACACGCCAAACGCGGTGATTGATCGTTGCGGTTCCAGAACAAGAGCTCGCGCTGGGAGGAATGCACTGCATGTATGGCATGCCTGGGTCACGCATTCAGTACGCATGCCATGCCCCGCCAAGTCACTGCGTGTCTTATTTGGCAAAAGACCTATTCTTCAGCCTTGCAAGCTGTTGAATGGTGCAATCCCAGCACAAGTTGCTATGGCTTCTGCCGTAGCATTGCTATCATCGCCTCCGGCGATGGGCGTCAAAGGTCAGGTCAGGTGTGCGTGTGTGCGTGTGTGTGTGGTGTGTGTATGTGCGTGTGCATGTGTGGTGTGTGTGGTGTGTGTGTGCGTGTGCATGTGTGGTGTGTGTGTGTGTGTGTGTGTGTGTGTGTGTGTGTGTGTGTGTGTGTGTGTGTGTGTTTGCGTGTAGGGGGGGGGGGGGGGGAGTTACTCCTAATGTATTGGTTGTCGTCCACAGCCTGACATATTAGCAGTGTTTCGCCTAGGCCAGACCTTACAGTCTTGAACCAGAATGACACTGCTCCATTCTTTGCAACCCACAATACAGAAGAATCTTTCTGTAACTAACCCACGGCCACGAGAACTCCCGTTTCTTTGCGCGATAACCAGAGGCTGATCGTTGCATAAACTGCCATGGTGCGCGCTCGGGTCCGCCGCGGCGGATGAGCTGGTCTGAGTTGCTGCTGGCTGCTCGCTTTCTACTCGACTTACGGCCCAAGCCGATGGCAGAACTTTGCTCTTCGGCTGGGGAATATCTTCTGGTGCTGACGGTGCCGATGCCCGTTGTCCTTGTTGAATCTCACCCGCTGTCTTGCCATTGCCTTGCAGTGACTTTGAGTCTTGTTGGTTGCTGCCCGCTCGCCGTTCGGAGATTCTCCTCGCGGTTGTAGCTCTTCTAGGCAAGCTTAGCTTATTCCCCATGCCGACCGCTCGCGTTGACCACGTCCAAGCGTAGATCTACTTGTAGGTCCACTCCTTTGGCGACAACTAATTACTTGGAGCGACACCAATGCGAATGTTCATTGATTCCAACGACTATGTTTTCTTTGGCAGTTTGGGTGCCTTGCATGCATGCTCTTTGCCGTATACGAGTGTGACCATGGTGACAGACTCAGTGCTAGTGCATTGATGTCAGTCAAAAGTCGTTACGACCGCGAACCTTGTCCGACGTAGGCCACTTGGTTGGCATGGGCACGTTCCCATGAAAACTGCCTTCGCGCGGATCGGTAGAGACAGTCCCAGCCTAGTAGTAGTACTACTACTAGTACTAGTACTACTAGTGTTCATGTTGTGGACATGGAAATCCAGTCGATTGACCGGGGCCGGCGCCCTCAGTGCGTACAGAACAGCGCTTGATCCGATGCGACCAGCGGGCTGCAGCATGCGTGCACTGGCTTACTACTGCTTACCCACGGCTGCATGGCCAGCGCCCTGCGGCCGCTAGACGTGCGACCGGATTTCCATGTCCACGACAGTACTAGTAGATCTAGCTGGTATACCTTGTACTACCGTAGTACTAGTAGCAGGGTTATACTCTTACTACTGTCGTGGACATGGAAATCCGGTTGCACGTCTAGCGGCCGCAGGGCGCTGGCCATGCAGTCATGGCATGCATTATTACGTGCTGCATGCAACGACTTCGTTCTGTACGCGCTGAGGGCGCCGGCGCCGGCCCCGGTCAATCGACTGGATTTCCATGTCCGCGACAGTAGTAGTAGTAGATCTACGCCTCGATCGAAGCCTGGCCAGGTCAGTCAGTCAGCCCTACGGTCAGTCTGGCCTCTCTACTACTACTTACTAACAACAAGATAAACCTCCAATACCATGAATACGGCATGTACCCTTGCTGTTACTAAGTGTTACTCGGCTGCGCGGACTCAGCGAGTCTTGATGTATTATTGAGGAGTAAGACTGTAGGCCAAGCAACATGGGCAAGGGCTAATAAGCAGGCTGTGAGTGTGAAGAGTAGACAAAAACCACACTCTCGTTTTCACGTATGTACCGCGGACCGGTGCATGCAGGGCCGGGTGAGTCGTAAAATACCGGTACTTTACGACTCCCTGAAGTAGAGGGTCCACCCTGATGTTCTAGACTACAGTCTGACTCTGAGTCAGACTTCGTAGTCTTGTCACCAGGGTCACCTGCAATACCATCTTGCACACACACACACTGCACACACACACACACACACACACACACACACACACACACACACACACACACACACACACACACACACACACACACACACAAAATATTCTGATTCGCTAGCCAATGAACAAATTGCCCAATGACATTCATTTATAAGAAGCACAGAATACGCAGTCTCAAGTAAAAAGCCATCTGGTTCGACCGCCTCTGCCATATGGTTGACTTCGGTTCACAGCGCATGAAACTCAGAACTTCTCCCGTTTCCATGTGACGAATTGAAAATATAATGTGGTCAGGTCCTCAAAACTGTCTGGGAATACTAATAATGAAAATCCTACTCTAAAAACGTCTAAAACACACATGTGTGCTCATACGGATCCGGTCACACACACTCACACACACACACACACACACACACACACATGCACGCACGGAGGTTGCTATCTCTTCAAGTCAAACGACAAGCTGTACCAGGACCACGGCTCGGGGATGTAGACCAGGCCGGGGTACTTCTGCCGGAGGACGGTGTCGTTCCAAAGGTAGCCCACCCAGCCAGCAATCATGGCCAGTGTGAGCAGGAATGTGTAGAGGAGGAAGCGGCCATTACAGTCGAGCACTTGGTCGGAAGTGAGTTGTCGGTAGAGGACAATGAGTATGATTGCCAGCACTGAGACAATATACGCACTGAAGATCTGGCCTTCTGTCACGAGATACCTGCAAGAGTATGTGTGGGTGTGCATGTGTGGAGACAGAGAGACACATGATTACGATCAGAGCAGTGACACAAAACAATGCACAGCACGGATCGCCATCTTGGAGATAGTGAAGCGACGTCCCTTGCATTAAAAAAAATTGCTTCCGCCTAGTACCGTTCTGCTAGCAGTCTTGCTCACGTGTTCAAGTACAATAAATACGCAGACCGGGTCACAAATCTGCAGAAAAGTGGCTGAAGCATGCGTACATCTAAGAAAGTGGAGGTGATGTTGTGTGTACACTTAAATACGTCAAGCCATGGCAATTGCCTTCAAAAGCTGAAGGCATGCTCTGACTGTTATGCATATGTGCGCCCTAACTCAGCCATGACGAGAAAATGGCACTATTGCGAGAGAACTGAATATGACGTCATTGTGAAAGAACTCACAATGATGTCATTGTGAATGAACTCACAGTGACGTCATTGTGAAAGAAATCAAAGTGATGTGATTGTGAAAGAACTCACAGTGATGGCATTACATCATTGTGAAAGAACTGACAGTGATGTCATTACATCATTGTTAGAGAACTGACAGTGATGTCATTACATTATTGTTAGAGAACTGACAGTGATGTCATTACATCATTGTTAGAGAACTGACAGTGATGTCAGCAGCTTACCAGTAGTACAATGCACTAGGCCACAGAAGAATGTGCCCAGAGAGCGGCAGATGTCGTTGAGAAGCTGGTGCGGAGGACGGGACAAAGCTGCCCCACGCGAACAGGACCAGAGCCAAGAAGAACGGGATGTACCTGGAGTGACCGGAGACAAAGGCAAACAAGAAACAGGACAACAGTGCTACAGATTAACCTTGCACAACACAGCCTATTTTGACATTCTAGAAGGACTGCATAGATCACCACTACCACTACAAGGCTATACATGTCAGTTGCAATACAACAACTTGGCAAGGCATGAGAAGATGACACATAAATAATTTGAGCTGAAACTCACCACATCAAATGGCCCAAATGCTCATCATAGAAGTACAACAGCTCAAATGAGTCCACCTGAACACAAACGCACACAACAACAACAACACACACACACACAACAACAACAACAACAACAACACACATGCACACACACACAACAACACACGCACAATGCCATACTCGTCCACCATAAACAAGGCTTTGACCAACATTCAATCAAGATCAGTCAACGGGGGAGGAGGAGCAGAAGAAGCAAGTCCGAATAAAACAAAACAAAAACTTTTTTGACAGAAAGTTAAATCCTTCAAGTAGGGATCCATCCAAGAACAAACAGCACACCCTTGTAGAAGGCTGAAGACCCGCCGGTGCCAACAAACTACCAGCTGCTACCTGTTTCCATAAAGTTACTGGAATACCCATACAGAAGTCAATTGTCGACTTCGTTAACCCTGTTCCCCCAACGCGCAGTTTGCCTTTTGTCGTGGGCACTCGATGGAAGATGCGCTGGTACTACTCTCAGACACAGTACTTCCTGCTCCTGACAGTGGTTCTCCGTCCCCGGGGAAAATTGCGGAAAAAAATCGCAAAAAAACGCGGGGAAAAACGCGGCATAATATGGCATAATTTGCGGTGAATTTGCGGTAAATATGCGGTAAATATGCGGTGAATATTATTGATATTGCGGCAATTTTCAGTGAGTTTGTAGTGAAATCAATCAGTTACAAGTCTCTGGTGTAAGCACTCGTCATATTTGAGTAAAAAGCCGCCACGATGAGACGTTGCTGACCGAACAGTGCACTGTGTGTACGTGTAGTGCAACAAAAAGTTCAAAAAACGCGGGAAAATCGCGGAAAACGCGGTCTTTTAAAAAATCGCAAAAAACGCGGAAAAAAACGCGGCCGCGGAATCGCAATTTTCCCCGGGGACAGGGTTCTGTGCTAGCAACCGTACTTCATGCTCACGATTGTGGTTCTGTGCTGGCAACATGCCTTCTTGGCATGTCTGATGCTTTTGATATGGCACGCATGACATTCTCTTCAAAGATTTGTTCAGCATTGAAGTGCTGCAGAACGCCACAACAGCCAAATACTTTAGTGACATGGTGGATGTACGATGTACAAAAGGGGACTGACTGGCAGTCACAAGTGGACCGGTGGGTCTCCCGAGCTGCAGGAAAGACTGGTCGCTTGTGACCAACTCCGCGTCACCTCACTAGTTTAGCTTTGCAAGCACGGTTCACACGGACCCGGGGAACAACCCGCCTACAACACAGATTTGGCCTGCAGCGGCCAATTATTTCCACAACTAGATCTAGTCAGCGTCGACCATGTAACACCCCCTCCCTTTGTCCCCTTGAGCCTATGCTCGCAGTAGTATAACCAGATCCCCATTCCATTCCCCAAAGTGTTGCTGAGTATGCTTACTCATTAAAAAAATTCACGGTTCGTGTGAGTCCCAGCCACCATGCTGAAAAATAAACGAAATAAATACATTCTGAATGCACTTTTCTAAGTACGCCCAGACTCCTCCATTGCAGCCATTTACACATCAGGGTTCCTCAACTCAAACACACAACACAGTCTCTTCACTGCATACGTCACTAAATGTGTTCACCAAATTTTTGGCCATGGCTCATCATGAGGGTGAGAAAAGTAAACAACCTTACTGCAGTGTACAATGCCAACAATCTGACTGCAGTGCACAATGCCAACAATCTGACTGCAGTGTACAATGCCAACAACCTGACTGCAGTGCACAATGCCAACAACCTGACTGCAGTGTACAATGCCAACAATCTGACTGCAGTGTACAATGCCAACAACCTGACTGCAGTGTACAATGCCAACAACCTTACTGCAGTGCACAATGCCAACAACCTGACTGCAGTGCACAATGCCAACAACCTGACTGCAGTGCACAATGCCAACAACCTGACTGCAGTGTACAATGCCAACAACCTGACTGCAGTGTACAATGCCAACAACCTGACTGCAGTGTACAATGCCAACAACTTGCCTACCATCGTACCAAACTTTGCGGTTCAAGCTTCTGCATGATTGGGTTGTCCCTAACTGACAAATGAAACTGATAGCCACTGTAGATAAGGCGATGATTGACCGAGTCGCCGACAAGATGAATACTGGCACCCATGACCATGAACACAACGGTGAGGTAGCGCAGCGTCGTAGGTACTCGCCGTGGACACAGATCTAGCAACTGCAAGCACATACACACATACACACATACACACACACATACACACACACACACACACACACATACACACACACACATCAGCCCTAGAGGTAAAGTAAGACAGGGCACTCTAGGGTAGACTACCAAAAAAGAGCCTAATTATATGTTAGAACATGAGAGGGCAGACACACGGCAGTCGGAGGGTTTATATAAACTTGACCGAATGCTGCTATTGATTACAAGTACGTACTATGCATACACCACCATGTACGTACCTGTAAGAGGCAAAACGGAGTGATGACATTGTAGGCCATGTGAAAGTAGTCGCCGACACTCGGCATACTCAGAGGAAACCATTCCAGCGGGAAGACGATCTGATAAGAACAACACACGCAGAAAAGATATTGCCACGGTGCACAGTCATGTTCGGCGGGGAAATGTGTGTATGTGTGTGTGTGTGTGTGTGTGTGTGTGCGCGCGCACGCGCACGTGCGTGTAGGAGCATGCGCGCGTGCATGAATATGTGTGGCAAACAGCATGGATAATCAAGCAGCCAAGTCCATGCTCATACTAAACCCCATGACGTTAGATTTCACTAGTCGCTGCAGTATTGGTGAATGCTACTGTCCAAAACCTGGCAGGCAACCAAGTCTTGACCAACTCACCATCGCTATTGGTCTGCCAAAGTCCAGAATCCAGTTTTGCACCGTCATCAGTGTCCATAGGCCAAGCAGAAACCCAACATGGCTGCCACCACTGCCACTTCAGACAAAAGAACACCCAGCAGCAAAGAAAACACTTGATTGAAATTTCAGGTTTTTTTCAAAAAGGCATGATTAGTGACAAAGTTGCGATGATAGAGAGGTTCCGCACTACGTTAAGTTGAGCAACTTTACGTTAGTGGGCGGGAAAAACCCGTGAATTCGCGAATTTGCGCTCCACTTACGGAACGTTGTCTACATAGAGTACGTAGATAGGGCTCTGATAACGGAGGTACTCCGTAAGTAGATTGGGGTACAAATTTATGACTCTCTTCCCAGGCTGACCCGGTTGTACACTGCCGCGTTCCAAGTTGCTATGGGCAGCTACGTGATTCGAAAAACTCCGTATGGCGGAACACAGATCCACATGCAGTGTACGTAAGACTTTCCGTAGATCAACTACGTTTTTTAATAACTTTTTTACTAACGTAATTATTCTATGCGGAACCTCTCTACTAGTGAGGTTCCGGTCCATGTGACAGGAACTTCAATACTTGCACTCTTGGGTTTCCCCCTATTTTAGGAATTCTCCCACTCAGCAATACGTATCCTGAAACGCAAATTTGTGTTTGCAAATCGCAAACTAAAACCAACGCTAAAGTCTCCCGGTTCACCGGTACACAGTGTATGCGCAAGGTTATGTCAGAGTCCGGGTAGGGGGGATCCCATATTCTTGCTAGATATTCTTATAAGAACTTAGCCAAGGAGTGTAATAAGGGAATAATAGTGTGTAGTTATGTGTAGCTGTCAATTAACTTATTAGCCAAGATACTGCGGAATCAGAACAAGAAGAGAGAGAGAGAGAGAGAGAGAGAGAGAGAGAGAGAGAGAGAGAGAGAGAGAGAGAGAGAGAGAGAGAGAGAGAGAGAGAGAGAGAGAGAGAGAGAGAGAGAGAGAGAGAGTGAGTGAGTGAGTTGCAATAAATTGGTGTGCAACTGCGTGCATTCCAGTAAACAATGCGTCCTGTCTTCCAAAAAAAGTCTTGTTTACTCACCTAGGTTTTCCAGTATTTTCTGCAGATTGGCCTCTTTCACCTTCATTATGCCCTCGCCTTCTTCTAGCTGCCATTCTAACAGTACTGACAGAGTCTAATATACTACCACAAGCATTTGCTCTCAGTATTGACTATTGTATTGTGACTGCACTATCCCGAAATGACATTCAAGATTTCAAATCGAATTCGAAGGAGTTTTTTTTCGACAAGAACGCGATCGAGTATGTACTGGTCTGTACTCGATCTAGAGGAGTCTACGCAGTCCATGCGCCAAGACCGAAAAAGTCGTCTAAAAGTTGTACTTTTTTATGCAGATTAGCCACTTTTCCGAGCTGAATATATTCAAATCTTCGTTGAAAAATTGTCAAGAAAATGTTAGATGTCTCGAGTCGTTTGCAATTTTCTCTCCATCAGTGCTCGTTTGCGGAAGTTTTGCTTTCCGGACACCTTGATTGGGCCTTTGACCTTATGGATGTCAGTTGTAGTGGTCGTTACTCATTGTCTCGACGTCGCTGGGAGTGTTCTTGTGGGAGCTGTCAAATATTCGTAAAAATCAGGCAAGTGGCAAAGAAAAATTCGCCAAATTTTTGGGCAAGATAGTATGTAGACATCGATGCTTTCCTTTGACTCTCCACCGATGTGGAAACACTTCCAGAAGCGTTCATCGGTGTCCGGTTCTTGATGGGGTCGTGGTGGCCTCCACGGTTTGGAACAAAACAAAATCAATGCATTGTCTGTTGTCACCAGTGGGAGACGTATTACATGGCAAAGAAACGTACCAGCACCCGTATTCACTCTTGAGGGGCCTGAGATAGAAGCCCACATCATCTTCGTTCAAATGACAAAGTTCTAACCAGGGTCTGCAGACCGCAATTTCAATGTCATTTTTTGGTCCCTTAAAAAATGGCCTAGCCAATAGCCTGTATGTAGTTTATGAAGCATTGGCGTGTTCTTCGGGTTTGCAATCATGTTATTACTCATGAACTTCTCTTGTAAGATTCGTGCGAAACTGAAAGTTGTAATGTACTCTCAGGACAGCTTGAAGTAGGTTTCAATTCTCGGTGAAGTGCAAAGGTCTTAAACCGTCATTGTGAATGTCAATGGGAATATGATCCAAGAGTCCACAACCCCAAGGGAAATGTGTGATGGACTCTTAGTATGATCTGTGCGCAAAGAACTGCAGTTGAGTCATTGTTTTAGCAATATGGCTGCGTTCTGAGTTTTAGCACATTCTTAGACTCTTATTGTGCTGGAGTGTGAACTTTATAACACATGTACATGTATAACAAAAGCTGAATTATAGAACGGTAGAAAATGATATGCCCCATTCTCAGCTTTGGTTTCTGGCGTTCTTTTAATTATTAGTATTTCAGGCTGCGTTTTCTTGGGCTCCGTGTTCTATAAAGGGGAAGTTTACCCTAAAATCAAATTTTCACCAGTTGTAGTCTTCGGGGTGCTGAGTCGAATGGTCTTGGTCCGAGGACACTGAGACACTCTTTTCCTCCTTTATTCCCAATCGAACTCTCGCACTTCCACCGAAACTGGGTGCCTGCGCCCTACTAGATAGGGATTTGTATGGAACAAGTCACTAAAAACGCCGTTTTGTTCTTATAAAAGCACGGATGACCGCAGTTGGTCCATATGTTGTAGTCTTTTGGCCGCTGAGTCGACTGGTTTTGGTCCAGAAAGGCTGCGATGCAGCGTTTGGCCCTGATTCCCAATCGAACACGGTTGAGTAAGCGGTCACGTGCTCACTTACAGCCTGTTTGGGCCCGTTTATGTCACTCGAGTTGAACCTTTGAACCAGGGAGTCGCAAAAGCCTCTTACGACTCCCTGCTTTGAACCTTTGAGTTGAACCTTGATGTGAAAATTGTAGCCTGCAGGCACGGTGACCAGGCGGCTGATGTACGCATGAGCACGTGACCGCTTACTCAACCGTGTTCGATTGGGAATAAGGGCCAAACGCTGCATCGCAGCCTTTCTGGACCAAAACCAGTCGACTCAGTGGCCAAAAGACTACAACATATGGACCAACTGCGGTCATCCGTGCTTTTATAAGAACAAAACGGCGTTTTTAGTGACTTGTTCCACACAAATCCCTATCTAGTAGGGCGCAGGCACCCAGTTTCGGTGGAAGTGCGAGAGTTCGATTGGGAATAAAGGAGGAAAAGAGTGTCTCAGTGTCCTCGGACCAAGACCATTCGACTCAGCACCCCGAAGACTACAACTGGTGAAAATTTGATTTTAGGGTATACCGTAAAATCCCGCCAGAGCGCCCCGTCTCTCCCATCCGCCCCTCCCTGACTTCTTGTCAGGAACGTGATTGATTGTATCCTTGTATGACTCTGTCGCAGTCTGTGATGCCGTACTGCACTGCAGACGCGTGCTCGACCCCGTTGGAAATGTACGCAACAGTGCCCACCCTCCTGACCAGGGATCGCACAAACCCTGCGTTTTGTCGGGTCTGCACGACTCCTGGCTCTTGACCTTTGGTCGGTGTACGAGATGCACGAACAGTTTTCGTAGTGTGAGTACTTTTTCATGTAGCACTGAATGCGGCAAGTATGACTCGCCCATCCGCCCCTCCCCACCTGAAGCGTCGAGGAGGTAGGGGCACTCTGGCGGGATTTTACGGTACTTCCCCTTTAAGCCTAAAATCAAATTTTCACCAATTGTAGTCTTCGAGGTGCTGAGTCCAATGGTCTTGGTCCGAGGAAGCTCAGACGCTCCCTTCCTCCTTTATTCCCAATCGAACTCGCGCACTTCCACCGAAACTGGGTGACTGCGCCCTACTAGATGGGGATTTGTATGCGAAATGTCACTAAAAGCGCCATTTCGTTCTTATAAAAGCACGACGGACCGTGATTGGCCCATATGTTGTAGATTGGTTTTGGTCCGAAGGCAGCGATGTAGCGTTCCTCCTTTAATCCCAATCGAACATAGCTGAACAAGCGGTCACGTGCTTGTGCGTACACCAGTCACCTGGTCACCGCGCCAGCAGGCAACAATTTTCACACCAAGGTTCAACTCAAAGGTTCAACTCGAGTGACAGAAACTCGCTCAAACATGCTGTAAGTTCTAGCCTGCAGGCACGTTGACCAGGTGACTGGTGTACGCACGAGCACGTGACCACTTGTTCAGCCATGTTCAATTGGGAACAAAGGAGGAACACTGCATCGCAGCGTTTTCGGACCAAAACCAGTCGACTCAGCATCCAAAAGACTACAACATATGGGCCAATCGCGGTCATCCGTGCTTTTATAAGAAGGAAATGGCGCTTTTAGTGACATTTTGCATACAAATCCCCATCCAGTAGGGCGCAGTCACCCAGTTTCGGTGGAAGTGCACGAGTTCGATTGGGAATAAAGAAGGAAGGTAGCGTCTCAGCTTCCTCGGACCAAGACCATTCGACTCAGCACCCCAAAGACTACAACTGGTGAACATTTTCATTTTAGGCTTAACTTCCCCTTTGACGAGGCTCTACTGTACATGTACATGTAATGTGAAGAACTTGGTGTGCCCCCCGTCAATTTCTACCTGTAAACAACTTGAGCACATACACCGGAATACAGCCCTGAACCAATTTAATTATCACGACTATGCACATGGACCACATGATAGTACATTCGAGCGCAGGTATTCCGGGGGGGGGGGGGGGGACTTTACATTATTTCACTTGCAAACACATTGCACGTTACGTGCGATTTCGATTCCTTCACTGTAGATCTACATAAGAAAAGGAACAAAACAGCCGAGCTGCAGCATGAATTCTTGATCAATAATCTGGCACACCCTGGTTTCAGTCAACCACATGGTAGCGGCTAAAAGTGCTTATAGCTGAGACACAGGCAGGAAGTGCTATATGTGTGCTTTCTTTTCCATCTCCTTCACAATGAGGAAACTCAATACAAGTGCAGACTGCCCCTTTTACGGCCAAAGAAACACAGTGTATGGTGAAGAAAGTGTCCTAAGGCCGAGAAAAGGAAATAGCTAAGTAATAGGAATGGTAAAGCTACTATATAAAAAAAGACTGAAACCGAACCCTTTAAACAACTTCCAGCTAGTATGTGACATACAAGTCAGTTAGGTTCAACACTATGCCAGTGGATGACAGGGCGGTGCCCAACTCCGATGCCAGCCAGCCACGTCATGGACAGACGCACCAATGAGATGATGGTTAGGGATAGTCGGAGGCGAAAGTTAACCACAACTTGGAAGAACGGAGAAATTGTGTGCAGCTACAAACAGGATCCGGGAACACAAGCTTTCGGTCAAAGGGAATAATGAATTCTACACGAGCATCTTGAGAAAAGCACTTGTGTCATTCCCCATACTTCACAGTCTAGCCAGCACCAGCATTTACACACTGAATGTCGGCGTAAGATAGAGTGACCAAATTAAGACAACATCACCAGGCCTGGCCATCAAACAGAAGACTGTTGTCGAGAGCCACCTGGATCTGTATGCAGTGACCATGACCATGATACTCGATAGGCACTTGGATACCCATATGTGCACAGAATATGATTGGAAAATATGATTGGAAAAACCTCAACCAAGACAGAGGCACTGAAAATCTGTCTCCAGTGGCTTGTTCAAACACGGCTACGAATCCCACCAGACCAAGCTCACACAATCCACTACAAACGAGCTGTAAATGGGCAGCGTGCTGTGTTCGAAACGCTGGACCACATTCCTCGGCAAAGGACATCAAGTTCAGCCGTGCATGGGATGTGACAGTATTGCCTGTGACCGAAAAGCTTGAAAAAGAACGAGACAATCCCTCTAGTAACTGCATACGGCCCATTTCACAAGGCATATCCTTGGCCTGAGAGTACACCATGACGATTGTTCCTTCATTTCTCTGACCAGTTGGGTCCACACTTGAGGTCCATAATCAAGATGGAGAGCAGCCAGCTTGCTCTATGAACGCATGCGACAATATTCAGTAGACGGCATAATCCTGACTCCTGCATGGACAAAAACAAAATGAAAAGCCACACCAGTACCAAGTCATAAGCATCGTGATTAGTATACATGTAAACTACTACAATGTATTCTGAATGCAATTGAACCTCAGAACATAAGCCATACCCCTGGCAACTGCATACTCACGGTGGAAACTAATTCAAACTTCACAAAACGGGGTTTCCAGTACGTTTTGAACTCAACATCCCTAACGAGTAATCTATAACGTAACGATTATGAAGTTGATTGTGAGGAATTATTGATCAATGACCGAGTAATCGGTATAATCGTTTCAGCCCTACTTGTACTTCATAGGTCAACCCAATCCCACGGGCCACGACACGCTGATACCACCATAATTATGCCATTTTTTACAGGGTTTAATGCACAGCTTCCACATTTCATACTGGTAACACAACTACAAGCACATGCACGCGCACGCCTCTATGTGAGACCAATCGACCTGCAAAAGTTACAAATACGGCAAAAGCGTGTGTATGCGCATGGGCCATTACGATATGGTCCTCTTGTCAGGGTCTGTTCACTGTAATGCTGTCCTTTTTTTCTTGGCTTACGGGGCAGGAATGTCCCTGTTGTGTTGGTGATGTGCAAGCGGCGTGGGCCAGCTAAGAGTGCAGTGTGGAATGGTGGAGTGAGTTAATTCACCGAGAAACGATGAAGGTAATAATTGCGCCTGCCAAACACCATGAGACTCCAGAATATGTCTTTGTCTATGGAGTAAATAAGAGTGCATACATACTTATTTAATTCCGGTACGCGTTCCCATGACTACCATGTATGAACTGCGAAATCGGGTGAAGTGCCTCAATGGACATCGCTCTGAACTACAATTTTGACCCTCGTTTGCACTTGATCTGAGAACGCGATCAGCCTTTTGAAGTGTATCTGTTCACATTCAAAACACCTATTAATATTTGTAACATCGTAGATCATTGTTCTCAAGTTTACGAGAAGAAAATCAGAAATCCATCAGCCATACTAGTTTTCGTGGTTCTCGTGCATTGGCAACTAGGGTATTAGGAAAAATTCGCCAAATTTTTGGGCAAGTTACTATCAAGACAATTTTTGCTTTATGAGCAGCCTAGGACAATGGACTATACATACCTGAGGTCTGGGTGGTGTCCGGTAGTTCTTTTTTGGTTCTCACGCCATCAAGTATTTCGGCATCCAAAAATCATAAATTCTGGAGGACGCAAAATTGAGAAAAGTGGCTCTCCTGCAACATGACGGAAAAATCTCTGGCGTTCCGGCTTCCAGATTTTGTTTAGGGACTATCCTAGCCCTCAGCAGGCCAAGTTACAACAGCATTCATGAAAGTCTTCCATGCCAAATCGAAGACGATCAAAATGGTGATTCTGCTCAAAATTGGTCACAGAAAAAGTCGAAAAAAGCGGCGTCGTCATCTTCATTTTGCATAAAGATTCGGGTGATTTTTGGCCCTTGGCGCATGGACTGTACGGTACGCGAAGCCGAAGACTACACATTTCGTGCACGTGCAGCTGGCTTGGTGATGTCATGGTGAAAATCTCGTGACTATCACTTGATGTCATCTTCCGTATTGAAAGAAAGAAAATTTCATGAAGACCGTCGATGGGGGATAGCGATTGAAAAGAACCCGGAGTCAGAACAGGACCCAGCGTCCATCGTTTCTTTTGGCACTCTCCTTCCTCGAGTGCTCTCCACGATGAGGTTGTCGTGTCATGCCTTGTGGACAGTGTGCTGTGGATTAACGGTGTGTGTCATGTCCACTCGCTCTGAGGGCACGGCGCCTGACTTTTCGGCATGGTCCGAGGTAAGAAATATTATAATTATGCATGCTACAATGTGACCCCCAACTGTGTTGTTTTCCGAACCGGGCCAAAGCGGCTTATACTGTATTAAAGAATAAAATCTATGCCAAGACTGACCAGGATTGCAAATGTGCGAGGGCATTCAGTTCGTCAAGTAGCGTAGCAGCATCTCGTATGCAACCTTTCTGGATGGGAAAGCAGAGCGTTCATGCCCAACCGTCCTGTCCCCCTTTCTGGGCTGAGATCTCTTCCAACTGCCGGTCACAGTGAATGGAAAAAGGTTGACAGCTTCTCCTAAAACCAGCCATGCGGCTTGCACTTGTATGGTACGGGTATGGTCACCTTCCTATTATGCGTGTGTTTCCGATCCATGCGGCATATTTGCTAAGGTGGTATCGACACATATCAAGCCCGGGGAATCGGCTGGCGTCCCATTGAATGTGGTGAATTACACTGGGATTGCGTAAGTCGACTCTACAGAATCACGTTGTGTTGAGCAACGTGGCTTCCAGCCGCTGCATTGTATTTTACAGTGCATGTTTATTCAAGTTATTCATTTTTTATTCTTATTTCACTAGGGAATTCCCAACCTGAGGCGTCTTCGTCTTTTTACAGGGAACCCTAAGAATGTCTTGATTGATGGGGGGGGGGGCATGTGACTTGTGATTGGACACTTTACCTCGCCCGGCATGTGTTCATGCCGGCATCCAGCGGGACTGCCCGGAGTTCAATGCTATTACTGTGTGCCTCTGCATTCATGCCTGCAGTGCTGATCCGAACTTCCAGGCAACTCTGGATCTGGTCGCAAAGGCATCAGTTGGCAATCTGACGCGCAATGAGACCTACGCTACGTTTATCAACATCTACAACCTGTTTGCCATCTCCATGGTCATACACCACCCGTGCAGCAAATCCATCTTTGGCGGGTAGGTCACACGAGGATCATGGCCTGAGAGCATGGTCAGCTCTGAGCGGCATCCTGCTCTGATATTCCTATGGCGTCAGAGCTTACTAGCATGCCTTGCCGCCACTGTCACAGACTCGGTTCAGGTGCATGCTTTGTACGGCGTGGTATCATAAGCACTGCGGGCTTTCCCCTTTTAACATGCATGTCACATGGGATGACATCATGTGCACGTTCTCTGTTGTACCTACATGAATTTATTGAAAAGCAGGAGTATTTGATTGCAAACAACAAAACAGCATACTACCGTAGAATCCCGCGGATAAGCCCACCCGCGTATAAGCTCATGCCCGCGCATAAGCCCAGGGAAAGTTCGAACATCACAAGACTTCGTCGTACAAGCCCATGGGCCTAAGTCGTACCAAGAGTCCATAAATTATGGACTCTTGGTCATACAATGTACATGTAGGTAGTACATGTAGATTTTTTAAAGTTTTTTTGTACATTTCAACACAATCATCGGTTGTTTTTGTTTGCACAGTGGCATCCGCCAACGTATTTCTCACTTCCTTGATACTTTTCAATAGCACAATGTTGGTGTCAGCGTATAAGCCCATGTCCGCGTATAAGCCCAAGTTCTTGTATAAGCCCACCGAAATGTCCTTGTGAAACAGATAAGCCCATGGGCTTATCCGCGGGATTCTACGGTAGTATAATTATGGATGTGGCGTGGACTCTATTAGATTTGCTACAACGGACATAATTTCATTTGTAGTCAGATGCATGCAGCTGTTGGAAATAGGATATTGTTTCAGCCACAAACTGTAGAACTACTGAGAAAAATTAAGTAGAAGTCCATCCGATGATATTGTGGGAGACAGACTTCTCCCCAACCCACTGAATTGCCAAATAACTGGTCACATCCTCTATCTGTTTAGTAGCTGTTACACTGAGCAGATAATGTAGAGTATTCCCTTCTTTGTGGAAAGAACGCCTGGAAGTACGTATCTGGTCACTCGAATGATCTAGCAGTTTGGTACTGTATGATTTCAAATATATTGCTGTGTGCTGTTTGCATAGATCATGCTCGCCCATCAAGAGCATCAAGGACATAGGATCACTCCTAAGTCCTGTTTGGAAGAAGACGGCGGGCAGCGTTGGTGGCAAGTCCTACTCGTTGGACGACGTCGAGGACTTCCTACGTAACCCGGCCCCGTTCAAGTACGCTCAATATCACGCTATCTAATTTTGTAATATTGACTGAGTACGAGGTCAATATACGAAATAAATGTCGAGTAAAAGACCGAAACGAAGCCGAGGTCTTTTACAAGGTTTTATTTCCTATAATGACCAAGTACGCAGTCAATATTAGATTATCACGACTAGCCAAAGCATGTGTTTAATCCCGAAAAGGAGTCAAATATAAGCAGTCAATATAGCCTAAGCCTAAGAAGTGAAGTATGCAGGAATATTTTACTGCTTAGGTATAGCAAAAATCGGTGGGAGCCAATACTAGTAAGGGAGTGTAAAGCTGTGTTCACAACTGGCGCATGTACGCGTAAAACCACGCGTTGGTGCGTATTTTTGCTGGCGTTTGGGGCGCCAGGCGTACGGAAACGCGCCGAAATGGAAATTCCAACATGTTGGAATTTTCAGCGCATATCAGGCGCGTACATGCCAGTCACTTTCACTGGCGGGGTCAAAAAATTAGTACTCGAATGTGTCGTACGCGCTGAATACGACTCGAATCGCTGTTTTTTGTGAATGCCTGGGCACGTTTGGGCACGCATGAACCCCAAGCGTACCGCGTCCACGCACCAGTTGTGAACACAGCTTAAGTGTTGAGTACGAACAAGGTGGAGTCATACTCTCCTCAGACAACAATGGACAGGAACTGGTAGGTGGAACATTTATTACGGGAGACGAGACCGAGACAAAGACAAAACGACTACATTGTGGAAGAGAGAGAGAGACAAGAGAGAGAGAGAGAGAGAGAGAGAGAGAGAGAGAGAGAGAGAGAGAGAGAGAGAGAGAGAGAGAGAGAGAGAGAGAGAGAGAGAGAGAGAGAGAGAGAGAGAGAGAGAGAGAGAGAGAGAGAGAGAGAGAGAGAGAGAGAGAGAGAATCAAGTGAGGGCGGCAAGATAAAGAGCCTGGGTAGCTATGGCAAATATGGACGCGCAAGTAGCTACCTAGGCCAACGGAACCAAAGGTGACAAAAGGTGAGTACGACGTAGTATGGGGTCATACAGGCCAGCTTGGGAAAGGTTGTACGGGAGGAGGTACCCAACATAAGTTATTGTCAAAGTTAAATTATAGTGCTGGCGCAGATGGTGTCACATCTTGCTAGATTTACACGAAATCTTGGGATTTCACTGACTAAACACGTTGTCGAAAGACTCATACACCAGCTTGCTGATGTCCTCGCAAGTATGGAGAAGTACCCAATGCTGTAGAAGCAAGCTGTGGGGGGGGGGGGGGGGGGAGAAGTACTGAATAGTATGGAGAAGTATGTTGTCAACATAGTGTTGGAAATGGCCAGGCACGCTCTAGGAGAATGAGCGCTAGCTACACAGCACACAAGCTGAAGTCTCTGAACACACATACCACCACTTGAGAAGGCCTCTCTATCGACAGCGGTAGTTGGCTCTTTGTACGGTTCCACTGCCAGTCCCTTGCTTACCCTTGCGCTCAGCTTCATTGGTCAACTTTCGGATCTTTGCAACTACGTGAAACTTGCTCCAGAATTCAGTCGAGTTGTCGTCGCGGCCGTGAAATGGACACTACAGTCAAATCTGCCGTTAGCAACCTCTGCTGTAGGCGACCATCTACCGTTAGCGACCGATTTTCCGTGCACCGACGGTTTCACATACAAATTGATCTGTCCAGAGCGACCATCTGCTGTGCGCGACCAGCGACCGCGATTTCATGCACGGTGGCTGCATTCAAATCTGCTGTAAGCGACCGCGACCCACGTTCAGTCAGGTGCGAAACTGTACTTGCCAATGCGCTGTCGACTGCAAGGTGTGAAAATGCGCTGTTTTGCAAGTGCGATCGACTGGCCCTGTCACCCCTATACTATAATTCTATTGTCGTATTGAATATCCAATAAAATGATATTAAAAATCACATTATTCTCGTCGATTTGAGTACATGGAAGCATAATTATTATATGCATGCCCGGTATGCCGGATTTACCATACACCTGCCGTAAGAGACCATCTGCCGTAAGAGACCGCTTTTCTTTCACCAAGGGGCGGTCGCTTACGACAGATTTGACTGTCTGTCCCCGGGGAAAATTGCAATTCCGCGGTCGCGTTTTTTTCCGCGTTTTTGCGATTTTTTAAAAGACCGCGTTTTCCGCGTTTTTTTGAACTTTTTTGTTGCACTACACGTACACACAGTGCACTGTTCGGTCAGCAACGTCTCATCGTGGCGGCTTTATACTCAAATATGACGAGTGCTTACACCAGAGACTTGTAACTGATTGATTTCACTACATACTCCCTGAAAATTGCCGCACATCAATATTATTCACCGCATATTTACCGCAAATTCACCGCAAATTATGCCATATTATGCCGCGTTTTTCCCCGCGTTTTTTGCGATTTTTTTCCGCAATTTTCCCCAGGGACAGGACTGTACATAAGACTGTCTTCCTTCACCATTCTAGACCTTGACGCCAAAACTACCACCCTGAATCATGTGCGTCCCGGGTTTCGGGACCAGCTGTAGGGGAACGCGTGCACTCCAAAGGGGTGATTTTTGAATGTTCTTAAAAACATTTCGACTTTTTTTCGCTTTTTGAATTTCACTTTTGGACAAAATAATTCGCATGATGTGGCCTCGCTCAGCTTGCGCTTGCCATGCTTCTACATACAATGTACTTTATATCTGTAGCTGATCGATCCTCTTCATTTTTCCGTACCATTTTGCTCAAATTCCGGACTGCGGACGAAGGAGAGATTTTTCGTACAAATACAGAAGGTTGGCAGCCCTGTCATGCAAGTGCATAGTTCATGATTGGTTCTAAAACAGATAGCAAGCATATGGCAACCATCCATCGGCTAGTCCTGCTCCAAACAACATAAGTTAGCTAGTTTCATCGCAATATGGTACTAACAAGTAGCAACAGCGAGCACCGTGATGATGAATCAATGTACTAATACTAACATACAAGACTTATATGTCAAGGAACCAATCGTATGTGCAGAGAAACATGCGGCCAGCCGCAAAACTACAACACCAGCGTGCTGACCAACCATGACTGAGTTGTCACTAGCGCTAGTACTAAACACAGTCACAGGGAGCATGTCCAGCTCTGCGCAGTGTTCATATCTAACCGACTAGTCAGACTACGGGGACAGTCCTGTTAGTGTCTATTTCAATATTAATAGACCTGGCTGACTAATGACACCTCCTGCTGGCACACACGCAGAAAACAACACTGGTACTACCACAGCGGTCATGCTCGAAAACAAACCTGTGCTCGTGAATGAGCTAGGGTCCTGCACCAGTGCGCAGTCCGGAGTCGGCATGCCCGGAGCTGCACAGCACATTGCACTAACTGACCTACTAAGCCCGGGATTCTTGATTTCACTCAGCGGCATTGTAGCTACTGTTGGGTGTGGGCGCCGCCTGGTGAAATTTTCATTCTCCACAATGTACTTTAGAGTAGGTGTGTTACACTTGTTATTCTTTGCCGGTCTTTCTTGCCAGGGCGTCTCAATTGCAATTGTTGCCAACCCTGGAGCCGCATCCGCTTCAACAGTAGGACCTGTTCTGCACACTGAAATGAATGGCATGTCCTTCACATATTGTGTAGAACCAGTCCTACTGTTGAAGCGAATGCTCCAGGGTTGGCAACAATTGCAATTGAGACGCCCTGGCAAGAAAGACCGACAATGCGTTAAAAATAACAAACCGACAGAAAGGTACGTTACACTGCTCAATATGCAGACCTTCCTTGATACGGTAGGAATCCTGGGTTCTAATTCCGGCTTAGGGTTGCGAATGGGCGGGTACTATATTGCCAGTATATGCCGGTAGAGCTGGTCGACGCAACATATGTCGCCGTGTTATGTTTTTATAAATGCCTTTCATTCTTTTTTTTCTTCTTTCTTCGCTTCCTGGAAATGTTCTAGGGAAGATCCCAGGCTGCATGCCTGCATTGTGTGTGCTTCAATCTCCTGTCCTGATGTTCGCACCGAGGCATTCCAAGTCGATAAACTCGACCAACAGATGACAGATCAGATGACAAAGTTCTTGTCAAACCCGAAGAAAGGTACAGAAGTGTGTTGAGGCTACGCTATCGGGCTTGAAAGTGCTTTGTCGCAGCCAGCATTGAGTCATGACAACGCTGACTTTTTTTAATCCACGTGGATCCAGTTTTTGTAATAGATCCATACACGTTTGGGGGGTTTCCCTTCACAGCACAGTGACTCAGCCACCGGTGGTGACTGAACTGGGCCTCCCGGTCAGTGGCCTACTCTCGGTACAGAACATCCGTGACGCCTGCATGCGACACGAGGGCCCCACCCACCACTTTCTAATTCATGCTTTGCCATGGGCAGGGTGGATCCAGAAGTCGGTGTTTATCGTTAGACTTGGACTTCCGATGTCATCGCTTTCAAGCCCAAAAGATAATGTGTGGGACTCGTATCGTCTCCAGGTGCTCATTACAATACACCCCTTCCTAGGACCATCATGGAACCATTACTGGTATTAGTTTAGTCCCACAACCTGCGATAAAATGATCAGCTGTAGCACCTACTCCACTTTGATGTTTATGCATCTATGTCATTCGGATCTTCCCAAGTTGTACATTGTACTGTTGAGATACCGAATTCAAATAAATCAATACCAATACCAATACGGAGTACAAGTCGTAGATGTACATGTACAAGCATCCACGGTATTGAAATGCGACATGGCTTTCTAACCTGACTTCTGTGGCTGTCGTGTCTGCAGGGATGTCATTGAACATGTCAACGAAGACGGTTACGCTCTCTCCCATATTCCAGTGGTTCGCGGCTGATTTTGTCTCGGCTGCCGGAAGTGTCAAGAACTTCATCTTGCCATTCATCGCTGATGCGGACGTCGCTTCCTTTGTCCGCGGAAATGACGTTACACTGGCTTACTTCGACTATGATTGGAACTTGAATGGTGCAGCTCCGTGTCAATGTTGAATGGTGCAGCTCCGTGTCAATGTTGAATGGCGCAGCTCCGTGTCATTGTTGAATGACACAGCTCCGTGTCAATGTTGAATGGCGCAGCTCCATGTCAATGTTGAATGGTGCAGCTCCGTGTCAATGTTGAATGGCGCAGCTCCGTGTCAATGTTGAATGGTGCAGCTCCATGTCAATGTTGAATGGCGCAGCTCCATGTCAGTGTTGAATGGCGCAGCCCTGTGCTTATGTTTACTGGTGCAGTGTCACTGTTGAATTATTATGCTAGGTTTCAGCGTTATCGAATGATTCGTAATGATTATTTCTATCCTTTATTATTGAATTCGTTTCCTATCTGAGTACTGTATAGACGGGTCTCAAAGTGACCGATTGAGTCCCCCTTCTGCTGCTACATATTGACTTGTGTACTAGTACACTTTTATCAAAATGTTTGTGCTTCCAGATCAGCTTTAGGCTATTTTTCATTTCCTATGGATTACGATGTAGACTCCAGTACTTGTAGATCATAGAATTCTTGTTTCTGCGGGATAACAATAATTATGTAGTGGTTGTACATGTACATGATTGGGCTTTTTTTAATGACTATGATAGGACACGAGTACTTTCTCATTCGGATTTCCCGACTACCGGCATGTCGACTGAAGTTAACAATGAACATGACCGGAGTTTCAACCCGTGTAGCACTGTGGACAGTTCTGGACACTGAGTGAAATTCATAGTGGGGCCTTGCTGTACGAGCTCTTCCCATGCAGTACTCTGGTACTGTACACTGTACAGTGTCCGTAGCACCATGGCATCTTTGCACAATGTAGCACTTCCAGTACGTAGGAGCATGCTCTAGTTCTTCCTGTGAAATATGTGTCGCACATGGAGAATTCCCAGTTACTTCTGGGTGCATGGCAAAGATTCAACTCAATGAAAAGGTGAGTGGGGGCTGAAAAATACTAAAACATTAAGAAAATTAGACTCGGATGGAGAGCCAATGATTTATTTATAGTAAAGAAAAGGACCAAGGAACTACAAGTTACGCTATAATGTCCACTAACACCACCAGTTTCGGTCAGTTTTATGCAATGTTATCGCATGAGCTAATTGTCAAGTAACTGGTGATGATAGTGGACATTATAGCGTAACTTGTAGTTCCTTGGTCCTTTTCTTTACTAACGTTACTAGTATAATTTTTTTTTAAATCTTTGAGAAAACACGATCGGTATTAGACACTGGATGATGACACAGCAACAAATAATTACAATATTCTAATGAGAGGCAGCTGAGATGAGATTGGGTTATGGTCCATTGAACGGAACATGCATGAAGAGTGCATGCAGATGTGGAAATAGCAATATCAGAATTGCACTTCAGGCAGTGCAGTTCCTGGCAGCACCGACCGGCAAAGGCTCATTGAGCAGTGCAGGACTAATGAATAGTTCCGAGTCTCTTCTGCTGCGACTAACACGTTACGTGATCAGGTAGATGGGAAGCAGACGAATGGATGCGTTTGGGCCGAGTTCAGCCCTGAAGCAGAGCGGGAACTGATCTTCGTTGATGCTAATGGTCTCCTTTGAGCCACTGAAGACACAACGCGAGCGCCAAGCAGTTGCCTTGCGTCCCACCTTGTCTAGTTGCAGGTGAACGAAGTGACCTGCTGTCCACGGCGTGCTCAATACGCCCCCGGTTGCGAGTGATCTTTCACTGCCCCTGGGTGCCCATCCGTGGAATCTGCCAGGCTCATGAGGCCAGTCAGTGCCATTTCCAACGTGTGCTGTACTGCTAGCAAAGCCGAGGAAGACATCACCGGATACAATTTCTACTATAAACGGGCCTGGCGGAGGTGTAGTGCACACTGACGACCATCCCGTCTCGGAGGTTGCGCGGATGGTGCACGTTGCCTGTCGCATGTCTTCCGAAAGAGTGATGTCCTTCGACTTCAGGGACGGAGAAAACATGTGGAACAATTTTATACTGCATACTTGTCTGTCGCTTTTCTTAGGCTTGGCTTTCTGCTCCGCGGCCCATTGCAGAAGCTTCATACTCCTTGCAATGGTTGGGGTGAATTCAAAGAAATCCAGCTCACAGCCAGGAAGACGTGGTTTATCTTCATCCTCACTTGTATCCTCGTCGTCGTCGTCGTCTGACTCGTCATCTGCGTCCTCTTCGCTTGGTTCATCTCCATTTACCTCAGGATCATAGTCCGGGTCCTCTTCACTATCATAATCGTCCAGATTCATATCCATAAAGTTGCAATAGTCCAAGCCGTCCGTGCTGTCATCCAGAAACTCTCCATCACTGCGAATGGCCAGCGCACGCAACACAGCTGCATCGCCGAGGTGTTTGCTCAGGTACACTGCCGTGTCAAGTTTGCGACGCTCCTCATCTGTGTCATCCTTGATCTTTTCCAGGTGGTTCACAGTTTTCAATCTAGCTTGGTCCAAGCTACGTTGCATATGCTCACCTTGCTCCTGGAGGACCTTTACACCAGCAGCGATATCTGTACTGATTTCTTCCGACAATTCTTTTGCTCTTTCGTTTGCTGTATCAACGTTAGCTTGAATGGTTTTCAAAAAATTGGCCGAGACTTCCAGAACAAATCGCTTTGCCTGACGCCGTTGAATCTGTGCTTTGCGAAGTCTCTCAGCAGCCACATGCACGGCGATTGGCTCCTCTTCACACCGCTCTGCATGCTGCTTATCAGCGTTGCATCGATCACACAACAACACTTTGCATGATATGCAGTATGTTTGTAGCTCTTCATTGTGTAACACACACCGCTCATCATCGGCGAGGACTCGTTCGCTTTCCAAAGAAACATCTGCCACACTATGGTCACGGCTTTTCATGCTACGCTTATGGATAGCTGAATGCTGTTCGCATAGCAGACGATTACACGTCAAGCAACGCATTGTGGCTGGCTCATCTTCACCTTCACAGTCCGAGTTCTGGCAAACCATTGCTTCATTGCTAGATGCTTCGATGCTTTGGTCATTGTGCTCTTGACTGGCAGTCACTGCCGCGAGTTGCCGGCTCGGCCAGCTAACGAGACATTCGCTGAGTTTACGACCTGGACCAGGGTCTGGTGTAGCTGTTTGGCATCTTGCACACTCAATTATTGTGTTGGCGCTCCCGAGAAACTGCTCGGCACACGCCGTGCACGATACGTGCAGGCAATTGAGAATTTTCAACTGTTGGGCACCCGCGGATTCGCCATCGGATTGGCAAAACACACAATTTTCGTGATATTGCATCGACTCCATCGTGGAGCAAGTAGCTGCCTCGTTCTCCATTCTTCCAAACGAAATGCTTACCAAACCAACCAACTGATCAGTCTCTTCTTATGACGGCTTCTGGACGCTACACCCAGTAGACCTAGGCCAAAGGCTCAGCTAGCAGCTAGCTAGCGACGTTCGAAGTTTCGCGCGCTTGTCATGTGCCGAGCTAGGCGCTAGGGCTACGCTAGGGCTACAGACAGTCTAGTACATTGTACATGTATACAGATGACTATGACCATGATGACTGTAGGGTCGGGGTAGGTGGTAGACCTACATGGGGGGGGGGGGGGGGGGGCGTCGACGGTGGAAGGGGGAATGGGAGGGTGCTCGAAATCCAGAACCGCAACACCATTACTGGCATTAGGGGTAAGCGGATTATGCCGGCATAAGTAGTTTTTGGCATAATCAGGTCCTTTTTGAGAAGGAGCATAAAATGGCATCCAAAAAACCAGGGCAGATGCCCAATGAGGCTGTTATATACATGTACACACCTGCTATTGAAGGACCATACATAGCGCTTCTTGTCGATTTGCAATAATATTTTAGCAGCCATTATAGGACATCTCTCAAAAGTTCAGAGTTTGCTTGTGAATTTGGTAATCCTCTTGCATAATTGTCTTGTACTTCCACAAAGCTCCCAGTCCACAGTGGACTCCACATCATGACAATGGTCTGAGTCATTTTTTCATGACAATTATTAGATTCTGTTCTTTTGGTGTTTTTGGTGAAGCATATAAAAGCATAATTGGCTGTTTTCTCGAGCACCCTGCGAGCATCCGCTAGAGCATAATCAGGTCATTTTCCGAGCATAATCCGCTTACCCCTAAACACCATGGATACAGTCGCTAAATCAACATTTTATGTGTCTCGTTTCTAGTAACTTTCTACACTGCATTCCTAAAATCAGAGGAGCAACAAAGATGATTGTATTACCAATAGTCTGAATGCCAAAGGAAAGAGCAAAGACATAGAAAAGGAGAGCGAGGGAAAGGCAATAAGGAAAGACAAATGCATAAACTTTCATAGAAGAAAAAAGGACCAAGGAACTACAAGTTACGCTATAATGTCCACTAACACCACCAGTTACTAAACAATCAGCTCATGCGTTGCACGACACTGACCGACGGTACTGACGTTCTACAACTAACTGCTTGTAGAAAGTCAGTACCGTCGTCGAGCATACCTACATGGTTGTACCACGGTTCTGGTATGTAGGCTACACAATTGTGTACAATGCACCTGATCAGTGCTGGACCAGCTGCTGGTGGTCAGCATGGTAAAGGGTTTGGAGGTCATGCAGATAGTGTTTTCACTGAAAAGCAGGGTAGAAATCATGGCAATACATTATTGTATGCTCGAACTCGTCTTCTTCAAAGTTCTTTCTCACACTTTCTCACACGCAAAACTCTGCGTACATGTTCATGTACATTATGGATGATGCGAAGTCATGACCTCTGGATTTCAGCAGCCATGAGGCCCATGACTGTGCAGGCTATGGGTATCGCTCTAATTATTAAAAAACAATTGAGGTATAGTTGATGTTTGATAATGATGGAAGGAGAGGTGGAGCTACGGGAGAGATGAGTTAATTATTAGCAGGGTGAGGATGACATCGGTTGGACGAGTATGACGATTATGAAGACAGTTGAATGATTATGATAACTTTCAAAGGTAACTCAAAAACTAATTTGTCAATGAAAAAAATCTAAAAATCTGTTTACATAAGAAGTCAACTAATGAATAGAAGAAGCAATTTTTCTCGTTTCCATGTTGATTTCTAGCATGCATAGACACCTTGGTATGCCTATGGGGATACTCATCAGGGATGAATTTACTGTCATGTTTTTGCATAGCAGTTTTTGCTATGCAAAATCTCAATTATGGCGTTAGCTACAAAAAGCATGGATAGTCTGTAAATGTATGTATCGCAGTTTTCTGCGTGTCACTGTGATTTGAGTAGCAGTAGATCGATTTTGTTAATTGGGAACTCGTGGCCTGGTATGAGTAAAACATGGATGTGGCAAATGGGATTTAGGCCTTTGGCCTATGGTTGGTGGATCTGATCTATCCTCCCCCACCGTTTAGGAGCCGCATCTGACGCCTGATCATGGGGTGGTACATGGTGGCGTCTCACGGAAGCGGAAAGGTGGTTCTTGACCAGGGAGTTGTATGACTCCTTGTTCTTGACCTGCCCGGTACGCGAACCCATCGAAGTTTTTTTTTTTTAGATCGATTTTGCATAGCAAACTGCGATGCGATACCGGAAAAATTCATCCCTGCTCATGTATTTTGTCGTACTTCGAAAAGTACTTATGGTAGCCCTTTCCCAAAGATGCTCGCCACTTTTTTCGCAACTTTTGGTTGTTTTGGAAGAAATCGCAACTTTCTCAACTTTCTTCATTTTTG